ATATGTATACAACTATTAGGTCATCAGAAAAGTGTAATGCATTTTTGCTTAGAAAAATACATACTTTTAATCTCTTCCTCAGTTTCCGTCTTTGTCTTTACCCTACATCCTCTTACCCATGAATTTACTCCTTCAATTACTTTCAAATCAGAAATGCATTTCCTAAACGTGGACAATCACTTTGTAAATCATTTACTAAATAATCAGGCTACTATTCTTCCATTTTTTGGCTTTCATTTCCTGTATTTTAGAAAAATAAAAAGTTTTCTGTCTAATAGTACATTCCAGTTTTTGAATATTAGCTAGAGCAAATTTACTTATCTACAACTGATACGCTTATTATAGACTGAGGTCACTCACTTGATACAAAATGTGACTATTAAGCATTCATTTTACTAATTCTATTGCTATAGAAGAGTAACTTTTGTTCTTTTTTTTTTTGAAAAATGCTGAAAGAGATTCTGACTAGCTTTGCTTGGTGGGGGCTAGGGGTTTGGAGATATGAGGGCTATTAAAAATGTTCATTGAAATGCATATCCTGAAAAATTTATGAGTAGATTCAAAAATTTATATACCAAAATAAAGTAACACTTTAATTCCATCTTTCCATGAACTTTTAAAGCCCCCTTGTATAATGAAAAATATTAGCTTTTATGACGAACAAATTTTTGTGGTAGAAGGGGTAGAAATTCTCCACAGAATTGGAAAATATCTGCTTCTGTGAGCATGGTTGAATGCAGAACAGAAAATAGAGTTTATTGTTTATTAACGATAGACTATTTCAATAAATACCTTTTGTACAGGCCTTATAATTAGGATACAGAGATTTGAATCACAACTTTACCACTTATAAACTTTGTGTCTTTGGTCATCAGGTGGTGTAGTGGTTAAGGTAGCTGGACTCACAGATGACTGACCATGGTTCAAATCCTGGACCTGGTGACTTGAAAATCATGCCCAGTGTATGTGCATGTATCTCCAAAATCTCAGGAGGAGAAGGATTGGAGGCATGGCCATCCTCTCTAGGGGATGATTTCTCACTTTCCTTCTCACTGTCTCTCCCTGGTGAACACACACGCTCTAAAGCAAAATCCTTTAAAATAATTTTTTAAACCTTTTTATCTTTGGGCAAGATACTGAATTGCTCTTATCTTCAACTTTCCAATATATGAAGTAGCGATAATAGCTAACTCACAACATTGTTGTGAATAATAGAAAGCATGTATATGTTAGACAGAGAAGACTGTGAGGAATGTTCTTGGTTTCATGAACAATTGGAAGCAGGACAAAACTTACCACATATAGACACATTCACAATTTAGTATTCAACTGTTACTTGGATTTTATGGTGTGATAAGGCTTAAAGAAATAAACAAAAAAAACACATAGTTGTTGTATTTTTATGTGGTCAGTTATCTTACAGTTGAAATTTCTTCCCTTTCTTTTCCTTTGCTCCCCTTTTTTTAAATTTGTGATTGGTGCCTATGTTCACTGGTGAGAGACAGAAAAAGAGAGGGGGAAAGTGAGAAAATGCCCTTCAGCATGGCAAGGTCATACTGCAATCTCTTTTTCTCCTTCCTCCTTCCTTTGGAAATTTTGGGCATAAATGCACATATGTCCAGTGTGTTTTGCAAACCACCAAGTCTAAATCTTGAGCCATGCAGTCAGTCATGTGAGATCCAGCTGCCTTAACTACCATGCCACAAGCTGTCTGATAATAAAATTCTGAGGTTTATAGATTTCCTTAGTTTGGGTTTCCCGTAAGCAAAGCCTGAGACAGGGATTCAGCAGTTTTTAATTTATTAATGAGAGCTTCAAGAGACAGCGAGTAATGAAAGGCAGGGTAGGCAGGAGAGGAGGTTCTCAGCTGGAGTTCGGTTTCCGAAGATAAGCAGTTTAGTATTTGTTTGTGACCTGCTTTCTGGGGAGGAAGGAGTCATCATCTTGGTGAAGTAGTTCCTACTGAGTTGAGAATAACAAACTGAAAAAATTAGCAACCATGAGTGATGAAGCAGTCAATATTCACAGGAGCAAGGAGCAGGTGCACAGTTAGTTCTATAAAGTGATGTGGGAAGAACATCAAGGACATCCACTGCATTCTCTGTGTAGTTCTCTTAAAGCTTCTTGGCATTTTGGCTGAGATCAAATATATCATTAACTATCTTGATCCACTAAGACTTTTCTGTTCTAATTAGAATTTTCATAAAGACAAAACTTGTATTTTCTAAGGCTATTTTAATTTGAGGTATGAGACCTTTTTTAGCTCATCAAAAAATGTCAATCAGATAAAAATCATATGGCTTTAATTCTTTAAAACATTCATATACTTAAAAAAAAGATTTAGGATATATGTATAGAAACCAAATGTTCTTTAAAAAATTGTAGTAACATATTTCCTCCTTCCCTTACACTGCATTTATGAAAAAAGGAAGGAGAGAGTTGTACTCATATCAACTAGTCACTAGAAGATGCTTTGTAAATGGGACCAATCAGAGCTAAAGACTAGTATAGGAGGAAAAGAATGAAAGCAATGGTGGCAGGAGGTACTTTCTAGGTCTATTTCTTCTTATTTATCCATGGTTTCTCTTCTCAAACCTTTCATTTTAGCTACAAATTTATATGTAGGTACTATTGCAGGGAATAAATGTGAGCTATTCTTAAGACAAAGTTATGATCATCTGATGAAGAGAGGAGAAATCAATGAGAAGTTGGGATAGTAAATGCTTATAATGCTGTCCAAAGATAAGTTTATTGCAGGAAAATTACTGCATTTCAATAAACAAATACATTGACTCTCAAAGTTTGTATAGGACACTATTGAGTAATTTCCAAGAGATGAAAATTGTATTTAATATGCATAAACAAATTTTACTCCATTTTATCCTAACTAACTCATAATTTTATATTGTTATGACTTTTTCTATCTGCCAACTTTTTTCTCCCAAAGAAATATATATTGGTTGCATTATGGGGTCACCTAGAGACTTAATTATCAAAAGAATCTAGTGGCAAACTTAGAGAGGTATTAAGTAAACAGAAATTTTTTTTGAGAGTTTTTTTTTTTTCCTATAGGCTATGTGCGCTTGCCATACAGACGGAGAGAGACAGATAGAAAACGAGAAATCACCCCCTAGAGGGGATGGCCACGCCACAATCCCTTCTCCTCCATTCTCCTCTTGGGATCTTGGGCATGCACACACACGCGCCCAGCATGAGTTTTAAGCCACCAGGTCCAGGACGCAAACAGCGGTCCACTACATGGGAGTCCAGCGACACAGCCATTATGCTAACTGCTGGTCCCAAGTAAACAGGAATTTTTAAAAAATTCATAAACTAGATTAAGCAAAAGACCTGGGCTTAAAAATATATCTTAGAGAAGTTTGAAGTGCTGTTTTGACAGCTATTTTATCAAAAGACCTGAGCATTAGTGATACATATGAAACTTCTTGATTTCCCTGTCAAAAATAACTTCTCATATCCTGTGTGAGGGACTGTGAGGTTTAGAGATTAGGTTCTAACTTTACGGGTGGTAAAAAGGCGAAGAATACCACTTCGGATCTGCTTGGTCTTGACACTATAAATTATAGGATTCATTAATGGAGGAAAGAGAAAATAGACATAGCTCATGATGAGGTGAACAACATGTGGAACCTTCTTTCCAAACCTGTGAATCAAAGACAGCCCAATCACTGTGACATAAAATACCAGGACACAGCAGATATGGGAGACACAGGTGTTGAGGGCCTTGGCCCTCTCCTCTTTAGAGGCAATGCTCAGGACACTCTTGACTATCAATACATAGGAGATGAGGATAATCAGAGAATCCAGCACAAATATAAGAACTACAAGAACAACTGGGTATAGTCTATTGAAGGTGATATCAGCACAGGCCAATTTGATGACATCCTGGTGAAGACAGAATGCATGGGAAAGGACAAGAGAGTGACAATAGGGGAAAAAGTAGAGGGGCATGATGGGAGGGACAACAGAAACAAATCCTCTCAGCAGAACACCCAGCCCAATCTTAATCACTCGAGCATTGGTGAGAATAGAGGTATATCTAAGAGGGTTGCAAATGGCAATGAAACGATCATAAGCCATGGCAAGTAAAACCCCAGACTCAACAAAGGAAAGGGAGTGTATGAAGTAGGCTTGGGAAAAGCAGGCTGCATGCCTAATCTCTCTTTTATCCAGCCAGAGGACTCCCAGCACTGTGGGCATTGTGGTCAATGTCAGTCCCAAGTCTGTAAATGCCAGCATGGCCAGAAAATAGTACATGGGCGTGTGAAGAATGTGATCTTCCTTAATGAGAAGGAGGAGGGTGCCATTACCAAAAATGACAGAGATGTAAACAAAAAAGAAAGGTGTGGAAATCCAGTGGTGAGCTGCCTCCAAGCCTGGAAAACCAGTCAACAGGAAGGAACTGGAGCTGCTGTTGGGCCACATGATGATTTATCCAGAAGAAATGTCTTTCTCTCTTGGTTATTACTGTGCAAGTACAGCTTCCCTTTCACAGGCTCACTGTCTCATCTCGGAATTGTCTCTTAAAGGTAAAAATGACATCAATTTAAGTCATTTGTTTGTTGATAAATTTTTAGGGTAACCTGTATTATTTGTGTTGTAAACTGCATATTCCAAGGATCATCCTCTACCTACCTAACACAATTTTCAGAGACTTTTAACTGTTCCTATGAGTTTTATCATGCTACTGAGAAAGTTTGTTAAGCACACTGCAACCTGGAAATCATTTCCATCAACCACACAAATTTTACACACTGTCTTTATGGCAACAATCACTTTCTGCGTGTTAAGGGAATTTCAAGGAACCCAGCCCTAACTTTATTCCACTTTACAGTGGTGATTTTTAACCCACATTTTTTTCTGCATATGGATGACTTTTATTAATTATCAATAAAAGTCTGAGGAGTCTAAGATAAGAAAGTAGGGGAAGATAATCTCTGCTAGTACCACTGTTGCTCAAGTGCAGATATATATAAAGACACTGCCTCACAATTTCATGGATAACTGTTTGGGGAAAGATTTTATAATAAGAAATTATAAATTGCTTTCTGGACAATGCAGAACTAGTCTCTACTGATACAGTGGCTCAGACAAATAGTAAGTTAGATGATTATGGACCTTTGGATTGGAACAAATAATTAGATTAGCCAAAGGCATTGATCATAATAGTACTTCTCCTTCAGCTTGAAATTTTTATTTACTCCTATTGCCATGTAGTGTTTTTCTCTTTCCTAGAACCTGAGTTCCCTCATTTCAAATTCTTCATCCATATGTAAGCAACTGTCTTCCTAGTCTCCTTCCTTTTACCCCCAGATATAAGCTTCTGAATATATTCTCTGACAAATAAGGTTAAATCAATACTTCTTTTTTAAAAAATATTTCTCTTTCTCTGTTTAAACAGGACATGGCTGTTAGACGTCTATTAGTGTAGATGTCTGTTGAGAAGGCTTTGGGGTCTCTTTTGCCAATAGGCCAGTCTCCTTGCATACAGAAACCACCTTACATCTGCTTTGTTCATCACCTAGCAATTACCTAACATGTGACATATGTGCATTCATTAATTCATCCAGTATTTTTGGAGCACTCATCAGGTGATAGCCAAGACATTACAAGCTCTGGAAATCAGTGATAATAATACAAAGTCCCAAATATTATGAGCCATAAATTGAGTTGAAAATAAATTAAATTTTACATCAATTAAAGTTCAATTTTTAAATAAAGTAGCATTGTTTAATGGAGATTGATTCATATAAAGTTATACATATGTTAGTATTGGATTAATAGTTTAGCTAGTCTAGAGTTTCACTTATAAGGAGACAACATTTGAGTTGATACCATCGTAATGAAGAAGAGCTAACCATAAGAAGATCTAGAAGAAGATAGTTGCACTGAGAGGGAAATCATGTTCAATCAATAAACAGGAGGAAAAAAAAGTGATGTTCTCTAACGCAGAAAGTTGTCATTTTCATAAGGTCTTAGAGACCACAGTAGGATTTCTTTGTTGCTGTTTTTACTACAAATGTCATAAGAAGACATGAAGAGTTTTAAAAACTCACAAAAATGAAGGAGAGTGTGATGATATATTCCCTTTTTTTAGATGTAAATGGCTTTATTTTTAATTCTATAATCAGGCAATGCTTTTTGAATGTATAAAAAAATGAAATGAAAAAATAAATAAATAATACAAAAAGAAGGCAATGACAAAAAAATAGAATGTGTTCACTTTCAATTTCTTTGATAAGAGCACTATCTCATTCGTGAGGGCAGAGCTGACCTAATTATCTACTAAAGGTCCCACCTCTCAATAAGGTCATATTGTGGTATTTGATAAGAGCACTATCTCATTCATGAGGGCAGAGCTGACGGTCCCACCTCTCAATAAGGTCATATTGTGGTTAAGTTCTGATATGAATTTTGATGGTGGTGATATATTCTGATTTCCTTTCTAAATTATTCACTTGGATTTCCATGTGAAAAATAATCAAGCATAAAACAAGATACATTAGTTAGAAATCTATTAAAATAATTCAAATGTGGAGAAATGGTGTCTTTGACCAGGAAAAAGCTGTAGGGGAGGGGCAGAATTTACACAAATAAGGACTGACTGATAAATTGAAAATGGGAGTGAGAGGAAATGAAATAAAGTTGACCCTAGGTGTCTGGCTTGAGCAGATGACAGAATGGTGAAATTTCACTCAAGAGAAATTTGATACATATTTACTTTGGGGGAAATCAGGCATCATTTGTATATATAGGTGAAATAGAGCAAAGCCATGTCCTGATTTTTATTTTTTTCTTGTCTTATGGCAGACTCAGTTCCTTCAAGCTGTTTTCATCTTAAAATAAAATGATGATTTCATTCATTATGCCCTTAACAGTTATTTCGTCAGGGTAAGCCATCACATTTAAATTGCCACCCACAAAAGCAAATAAGAAACAAAAAAAGCCCACTGTCTTATTTTGTACCTATATAAGTGAACTCTGTCTGTAATTATTTCCAGCAATGAAGAGATGCCAAACATCTTGGTATGAGGTAATGACTCAACATTTTTGCCTTAATACTAAGGAATAGAAAATTGACATATCACTTCTCAGTCTCCTTATGCTGCCCGTAAGAGTGAGAGACACAAACCAAAATTTACAATCTATTGAAAATACAATGTGTGATGTTTCTCCTTAGTTACTGGGTGCAAAGATAGTCTGACCCAACTCATCTCCTGTGTTATGAATATAACTTGATTCTCCTGTTCTTACTCTTACTTATCTTACCATTCAGGAATAATTTTTAACCTAATGTCTTGCCAACTATAAGCTTGTGAGGAATTTCCTCATAAAAGACAGTTTAACAAAAGCAATGAATTACTACTTGGCAAGCTATCCAGTGGGGAGGAAATTTTTTTTTTCCTCCCAATAATATTCACCTTAGAATCTCCTTTTCTCTATTCCCAAGGATTCAATGCAGATCTACCCTGTTATGCAATTATCATAGGAAACTATAAGTCACTTTACCTTGTGCTACAAGATATGCAAGGATCCTCAGCTAGAATCTTCTCTTGGCTTCTTGAAAGAAAGCCCATGAGGGAAGAAACAAAAAGTGAGGAAAGATCATAAGGAAGCAACGAATAAATATTGAGAGCACAACCAAGAGAAAGAGCCTGTAATTAAAAATCAAACAAACTTTTTCTATTTGCTATAATTCTTCTCTGCCTCTAGGAAAAAAAAAAAAAAAGTCGGGAACCACAGATAGCATAAGGTTACACCACTGGACTCTCATGTATTTGACTACAGTTTGAGTCCCGGATCTAGTGGATTAAAATTCATGCTGGGCATGTATGTGTTTTTGTCCAATATCCCAAGAGGAGCACAGAGAAGAAAGGATTGCAACATGACCATCCCCCCAGCGGGATGATTTCTCGCTTTCTCTGTCTCTCTCTGCCTCTCTGGCGAGTGCATGAACCTATAGGAAAAAATAAAATAAAATAAAATAAAGTATAGTGGAGTAAGAGAAGCCTCTCAGGCCAACAGGTGGCATGGTAGTTAAGGCACTGGATTTCTATATGGCCAATTGTAGTTCAAGTCTTGAACCAAGCAACTTGAGACTTGTCAGGCACGTACAATGCAAGCCCAAAATCCCAAGAGAAGAATGGAGGAGAAGGTATTGCAACATGGCCATGCCCCTTGGGATCTGATTTCTTTCTTTCCCTCTGTCTCTGTCTCTCTCTAGCAAGTGCCACACTCTATGACAAAAGCAAAAACAACAAAAAACTTCCTTATTCCTCCCTAGAAAGGGAAGAGGGCTCTTGGGAGGGTCAATCGTATTGATCTCAATTGGCATGACAGGTCTTTGGTACTCATGCTCAAATTTCTTCCAAATTAATGTCAGCTTTGACCAGATCTGTGTACTCATCTAAAGCTGTGAGCTATTGAGATTCCTTCCTTATCCTTCCCCGTCTCTCTCTAGACAGCTTAGAGAGCAGTCTTCTAGTACTCCTTTCTCCATATGCTGGATATTGTCCCAGATTTACTTGCAACATAGCCTAGTTGTCGTTGGTGTGGCTAGAGTTGTTCTGTCTTACCTGAAGTCTCAGATTATGTCTCCTTCTCAGAGTCAGCTAAGAGATTCAGTAACCGAGGCTTTTAACAATGAAAATCTCTCCCCAGATATCTCCTTTGTATAGTTAATTAAGATCTTTAAAAACATTTTCTTTCTCTTAATCCCTTCTATGAATGAGATTGAACACTTAATTAATCTACCCAAGCTCTTAAATCATCTCCAGGTAAGGCATTGGGTTAGTCAAGCCACAACGGATACCTTATGTGTGGGGATTCAGAGAACTTGTCTTTATGGCCCCAGCAGACCTTGATATCACCTTTGGGAGGCCATTATCTTTTACATCATCTTCAGAGAAAAAATCTTTCCCAATTATTCTCAAGAGAAATGTGAATATCTCCTTAGTCTAATTCTTTGGAATTCCAATTATGTTTTCTGCTTGGTATTTCAGAGCCATTTGAGAGCGAAAAGTTAGATAATCCAGAGCTAATATGGTAAAAGCCAGGTAGCCTTCCTTGGTACCTAACATGAACCCACAATTCTCTGCCATTGTTAACTGTACCTTATTGGGTTTACCTTATTTTTTTTTTCTTTTCCAAAAATGCAGCACACATATTTATACTACAGTGCTTCAGTTACACATTATAACATCCCATCACTTTAGTTCTAGAGAAAATGGAAAAGAGACAAAATTGTTTTATTGAAGAGTATGTACAAATATCAAATATTAGTAGTATGTACAAATGTCAAATATTAGTAAGTACGTTAAAAGGTGTTGACATCTTTAATCTCTAGAACAATGAAGTTTAAAACAAAAGTGAAACATCACTCTAACATTTTGTAATGGCTATAATAAAAAGACTAATTGTGCTAA